TTGAATATGATAGGAGCACATCAGTGGTTTTCAACAAGGGTGATTTTGTTTCCCCAAAGGACATGAGGCAATGACTGGAGACATTTTTGGCTGTCATATCTAGGCGGGTGTCACTGGCATCTAATGGGTAGAGATCCACTTCCATCCACTGCCATTAATAAGAATGCCAACAAAAAACAAGCTATTAAACTCAGGCTTGAAGAATGCTTTACAGATCATTGGACTAAATATTGAGGCCACAGAGGATGATTTAGATTTGGTGTAAGAAATATTTTCCTAACTGTAACATTATTTGATATTAAAATAGATTATTACTTAGAGAACAGTAGTTCTCCACCCAGTTGCACAGTGGAGTCACCTGGGAACCTTTAAACACTACCAGTGTCCCGCTCTCTCAAGGGAGTCTAATATAGTCAAGAGTGGGACCCAGTAATGGCTACTGTTGTGGAAGCCTCCAGATTATTCTGAGAACCAAGGCCAAGACCCACTGGTCAAAGCAAAAGTAAGAATCCCAACACCTGCGCTTAAACAAAAGAAAGCTTTACTTTTAGCCAGAGGGGCCCTTGACCCTGTAAGAATACTATATGCATCATGCTTGCTCATAGTGGACCCAGCGGTGGGCCTTGTACAGCTGTCTTCCTGCTCTTGCTGCTTAGTTGAAAAGGTCTGACAGTTGAGTCCTAAAGTGAAGCCAAGAAAGAGAATTCAGACTCTGATGAAGAAATGACCTATGGAACTTTCATTTCTGACCCAAGTGCCAATAGTCTTTTGCTTAGGACAGTTTCACGGCTTGTGAGGAGGTGAGGACCCATTTATTCACTGGTTGGCCCAAGCATGTGTCACAGTTGCTCTGAAAAGCTCAGATCACAAGGTAAAGGACAAAGATGGAAAATAGCCAGACATCAGACCCCCAAGGATGCCCAGGATTGGCTTTGTCATTTCCACTCTGGCTTTCTTTCACCGGTGAGGTAAGACACAAGGAGATAAAATTCCCAAACCAGCAGAGGGCTTAGGGCAACAATACGTACTTTAAAAAAAAAAAAACAAAAAACAAAAAAAACCTTTTGCAGATATAGTTCACAAATTTGTCTTTTAACCAAGAAGTGGCCGTTTCTCTGGAAACAAAGAGTGGGCATTAGTAATAGGATAATCATAGCTTTTGTCTGCGTGCTAAGCATTTGAAATAGGCCTATAGATTACTACAAACAGCGGTATAGGATTACTGGTCATTAAGAGCCACCTGAAATGAGTTAGTAAACTTAAGAAAGTTCAATAACCAGAGAGTCAAAAGGAGAAGGTGATAGTAAATCATGGGGCAGGTGGGGTCTGGAAAGAATAGGAATGGAGAGGGAAGAAACTTGGTCTAACATGGTGTGGGCCTTCTTTTCCCATTCTACAGGTAAAAATGCTGAGGTTTGGAGTGGTTGTGAATGACAGAGTCCAAAACTTGGATGTGCAGAGCTAGGAATAAAACCGAGTTTACCTCACTCCAAAGTTTCTCCTTCGGAGCTTTGAAGTAAAGGCCAAGTCAGGGTAGCCAGGTAAAATCCATGATACTGGCTTGAGGCCCATGGGTGCAAGTAGCTTGTCCACAAACAGACAGACTTTTACATTTTCAGGACTACTCACTAGTTCTTAACAGAACCTGACCTAGCTGGGGGTCTACATGGACTCCAGTAACCACGGCATAGAGACAAGGGCCTCGTCGGGAGAGAGGTCGGTGTCTGGGGTGAAGGGGTGGGTGTGTGAAGAGAGTTTAAGAAGAAAGTTGTGGAGGGAGGAGAGAACCCAGAAGCTCCCACTAAGTTTAATAATACATTTTGATAAGTTAACTTCAGTGTCCCATGTAGGCTACTGTAGGTAGAAATAGTCTCATTTTAATAAAGGTGATTATGTTTTTCCTTGTGAAAATAATAGGTGCTCATTATAGAAAGTGTGGAAAATACAGAAAAAGGAAATGGGGAAAAATATATTCTTACTTGGTAAAACAACTGTTATAAAATCTGTTGTAATTTTTTTCAGTCTTCTTTTATTCATACAATTCATATTATTGTGATCATGAATTGTATTTGTCCTGATTTTGTTACTTAACACTGTAAAACAAGCATTTTCCATCTCATTAGCATTTAGTGTTACATGTAATTATACATATTTATATATAAATTATTATAATTTAGAAAAGTATAAACTATTATTTGTGCATGTCACAATGTACCTAACCTATTGTTGGGCATTTAGATTAGAAGATATATTATAATACACTCCAGAATGGAATAACTGGACCAAAGATATAGAAGTTTTAAGGACGTGAGACAATCAGCAGGGCTGGATTCTCACTTAGGAAGGCCTTTTTAGAGTAGTACCTATTCCTGGGTTTGATCCTCAAACTTGACATGCCCATAATTCAGTTTTCTTAGTACTGGGAATGATTAGTTCTTAGGAGTTATATAGGAGTTAACTAAAACTAATTTATAATGGCAATCAGATGTACCACATGGTTACTGTGGAACTCATTAGCACTGTTTGTCAAATATTTCTTCGGTCCATCTCCCAGGTACTCTGTAGGATTATACTTCCTGCTCCCTGAGGGTGGCTGGGGCCTGTGTCTAGTTCTGAGGAGCTGTGTTTGGAAGTGAATACTTATTTGCAGGGGGAGCTCTTTTTGCCTCTGTCATTGTAACTGACAATGCTTGAGAGGGTGGCTGCCCCATCAGCCCACAGTGAGAATGTGAGCAAGAAATACAACTTGAAGCCCCTGAGACCTGGAAGTTGGCTGTTAGTGCAGCATGCCCCAGCTCATCCTGACTGCCACAAAGAAGATACTCACATTAGCATGCCCAACATATATAATCTCTGTAAATAGAAATCAACTAACGTTAAAAGATTGCTAGGCTGGGCGTGGTGGCTCACACCTATAATCCCAGCACTTTGGGAGGCCGAGGCAGGTGGATCATGAGGTCAGGAGATCGAGACCATCCTGGCTAACACGGTGAAACCCCATCTCTACTAAAAATACAAAAAATTAGCCGGGCGTGGTGGCGGGTGCCTGTAGCACTCGAGAGGCTGAGGCAGGAGAATGGCATGAACCCAGGAGGTGGAGCTTACAGTGAGCCGAGATTGTGCCACTGCACTCCATCCTGGGTGAGAGAGGTAGACTTTGTCTCAAAAAAAAAAAAAAAAAAAAAAAGATTGCTGTTAAGATTCATCAGAATAAAAGAAAATACGTATTTATTTCAGGTGTTTCACAGCCTTTGATCAAGGCGACTGTAACATTCAATGTTAATTAAGACTTCTCCTCCCAAGTAGTTTGGGCTGGCCAATGCCAACCTTTACCTTCCGGTGTCTCCTTTTTACACTTGTAATTTTCACACGCGTCCGTGTGAAGAGACCACCAAACAGGCTTTGTGTGAGCAATAAAGCTTTTTAATTACCTGGGTGCAGGTGGACTGAGTCTGAAAAGAGAATCAGCGAAGGGAGATAGGGGTGGGGCCGTTTTATAGGATTTGGGTAGGTAGTGAAAAATTACAGTCAAAGGGGGTTGTTCTCTGGCGGGCAGGGGTGGGGGTCACAAGGTGCTCAATGGGGGAGCTTCTGAGCCAGGAGAAGGAATTTCACAAGGTAACGTCATCAGTTAAGGCAGGAACAGGCCATTTTCACTTCTTTTGTGGTTTTTCAGTTACTTCAGGCCATCTGGATGTATATGTGCAGGTCACGGGAGATATGATGGCTTAGCTTCGGCTCAGAGGCCTGACATTAATATTGACCAAGCCAACTTCTGATGGTCACAGTCTTCCTTTAATTGTTACTGTTTCATTTTAAAAGTCACACCATACACTATTTAACAAATGAATACTTTTTAAAATTTTTGTGTATATTGTTTTGAGATGGAGTCTCACTCTGTCATCCAGGCTGGAGTCCAGTAGTGCAATCTCAGCTCACTGCAACCTCCATGTCCCAGGTTCAAGCAATTCACCTGCCTCAGTCTCCCAAAGTAGGTGGGATTATAGGTGCCCACCACCACACCCAGTTAACAAATGAATACTTTAGAATCAAATTAAGTAAAACGTAAAAGACCTGCTTTCTCCCTCCCCTACCAGCCCACTTCCTGGAGTTCAGTTTGGAGCGTCTCCCTCTAGACGTTTTCTCTGCAGTTCAAAGTACAAATGGAATCCTACTCTTCGTATTCTTCTGCCCTTTGCTTTATCACTTCATTTCTCGGTGTCTTTTCATGTTGGTGCATTTTGATTCACCCCTTTCTTTTTAACGATGGAAGAGTTCTCAGTTTCAAAGATTTATCAGCCTTCACTTAACCAGTTTCTTCTTTGTAAACAGTTTTGTGTTTTTCCCCAGTCTTCTGCTATTGTTAGTAATGCTCCAATAAACATCCCTGTTAAATGTATCTTTTGCACACTTGCGCAAGTTAATCCAGGAGGAAATCCCTAAAAATATAATTCTAGGTTGAAGGGATTTGCAGTTTAAATGCCAGTAAATATTGCCAGTTCCCTTCCCAAAGGTCAAATCAATTTGCATTCCCACCAAAACAGTGTGAGAAGTCTTGTCTCTTCCCCCTCTCAAGGATACAGGGTATTACCAAACTTCTAGAAATCTCTTCCATCATAATCATGAAAAGCTATATTGCATTGTTGATTTAAAGTACATTTTCTTAATTACAGGTGAGTTTGTGCTTGTTCTTTCTTTAAGTATGATAATACCTTCAATCAAGTATGGTGAGGCTTTGGTGGTATTCTTTCTCTTTAAAGTGTGCTGATTTTACTGTTTGAATCTCAAAGAATAAGCCTGTTTTTAAGCCCTGAGGAAGCATCTTGTCGCTGCCCCTCATTTACTGAATAAACAGGGTTCACAGCATTTCTAAGACCCTTTATATATATGTATATTATAGCTGGGGTGTTTTACAGTGACAGCATCAAGGCAGATGGACTGGGAATTGGCCAGCCCTCCAACCTCTCAGTTAATTGATGTGACATATTCTTTCATTGCAGCAATTCAGTTTTGTGTCCTTGCCCACTGACGTGCTGGAAATTGAGGTGAAGGACAAGTTTGCCAAGAGCCGTCCCATCATCAAGCGTTTCTTGGGAAAGCTGTCGATGCCCGTTCAAAGACTCCTGGAGAGACACGCCATAGGGTAAACCTGTGACTGAGATCTTACAATCACTAGGTTCCCACCAACAGGCCATGCCCAAAGGTGGCCTGTAGGCTGCAATAGTATAGTGTCACAGAGAGTCAAAATGTTATCACTATATTTCCTTGGCTTTTCCTACTAATTATGTTGCTTGAGCCAACATAAGTGTTTGTTCGATTAAACAAACCCTTCCCTTTCCACTTGATGGTGTAACACTGGTTACTTACCCAAGAGAGTAAATAATCCTATTAAAACTATTAAACAGTATTAAAAGAAGCCCTCAGTGGGACATTTTTCTGTACAGGTAGAAACTCAAGTTTGTTTTACTATGAAGAATATTATTTCATTCATATATCAGTCTGGTATGTAAGATTTAATCATATGTGACATTTCCATAACAAGATGAAATACTGGGTAACTACGGTAGAGTGTCTTACTTAGAGGACACTAGTATCCGCACTTGCTAGATAACATGGATGAGAATTTGAAAGCATGATTCTTATGGAATGACAGCAGTTAAGATGCTCACAGAATTCAATTGCATATGAGAATGGGTTTTGGTTTTGTCTCTTACACATTCATGTCCACTCATGGTTCTCATTAAAGTGGACTATGACCAGATAACAGCCCTATATATAATCTGTATTTCTTTAGGTAACAGGGACTACGCTTGAAAACACGAAATAAAGCTTTCTATTGATAAATATATACTTATATACAATGTAACTCTTACAAAGATAGCAAAAGAATGAGAAAAATATGCAGAATTTCCAAGTATCTTAATTTAAAGTTCTTTGGATTATCAGAAGGACTTTGCAATCACTGATAATTATCACAAAGACATTTATTAATAATTGGAACTTTATGGTGTGCATGCAGCGGAGTGCACAGAGGCCTGCCACGAACTCTCCAGCCAAAGGGAGCTGAGTTTATGGAGCTGCAGTCACACGTCACACGCAGTGTTTGCACTTGTCATTCATGGTTGTGAGGATTAAACAGACAAAAAGTGTACATAAAGAACTTAGCATGGTCACTGGCACATAGTAGGAACACAAAAGAAAATGGTATTCCTTGTGATCTTTTTTATTTCATTTAGTCCTCATAATGCTTCTGTGACAGCATTATCACCATTCCTCCACGAGGAAACAAGGCTTCAAAAGGATCAATAATTATGTAAACCCAAGGCTTGTGGGTAGCAGAGATCCAGCCGGAAGTCAGACTCTTACCTGTGTCTCTCCAAAGCCCGAGGGCCATCCCTGCACTACAGGCTTCTCTCCGGGTTCCTGGGACTGATTCTCTGGTTTATTGTGGGCCACGCTTTTCATTTCTCTCCTTCTCTGCCCTACTGGCTGCTCTCACAGCTGTTAGCACCTCTGCCAGGGGGTGGGCTGGAGAACAAAAACAGGGGCTGTGTGGAATTCTTTCTACCCCAGCACCTAGTGCACCGCCGCCCAGCATGCATTAGATATCAATTTGTACCTTTGGAACAGAACTTCTCTCTCCAGCTCGCTGCAGCCGCAGAGCCCCTCTGCCCTCCCGTGCTGAGTTCTCTCCTAAGTCCAAGCTGCCGGCTCCTATCTTCTTGGCACTGTCCCGCTCTCCCAGCCTCCCACTGTGGAAAGGCACATCCCCAGCTGAAAGCAAGTTTCTGAGGTGGAAAAGGGTGTCCCCGACCAGAAGAAGGTTAGCTATGATTTTCCCAGTGTTCTTGCCACCCAGGGAAATGGAGAGCACAGATCGAGCGTGATTGAGGTTACACCTCTCCAAGAGGCGGCAACAGCAAGCCATGGAGGTGTTTCTCCTACCACCCTCTTTGATGGGATGACAGACCGCCCCCTGGTGGCGGGGCAGAGCAGCTCCTCCTCCAAAGCCTTCTGCTTCCACAGCCCCTGGGGGCCACTTCTGTAGTGCTGCCCCTTCCGAAGGTGTCCCACCGTGGGTAGGAGCCGAGTGTTGGGGTGATGGCCATGGAAGCAGTGGCCATGCAGCCTGAGCCATGGCACAACCCCAGAGTGCACCCATAACAAAAGTGAATCCACTTTGTACCGCAGCTTCCCTCTGCCCTCAGCACATGCACTCCCTATAAAGCCCCCTGCATCGATGGCTTCTGAAACGTTTGGCTCCACCTGTACCAGCTCCCTCCCTGCCCTGAGATATTTGCACCTTTCCCCCCTGGGCACACACGCACTCTGATTTCCAATCCTACCTCGATTCCTTGGCCTGTAAAATCCCAGGCTTCAGCTGGCTCTCTGCCTCTAACTCTAACCATCTCACCTTCACATTGAAGTGTCACTGTCTGCCTTGAACCATTATTTAGTGGTCCTACCTTATGCCCCCAGCTGGACATAAGCTATTTAAAGGCAGGGGCGATGTATGAAATGCTTTGTATGAACTGCAGCACTTTTCACGTGGCAGGGGCTCAAAAAATGTTTGTCAAGTGAGAGAAAAGCAAAAAAAAGAAAACCCCAGAAAGTAAATGCAAAGCATAATAAATGTAATTTTTGTGCCACTGTCTGATTGTCTTTAGGCCTCCCCTGATTTCAATTAAGTTTTGGGTTCAGGATGTCTTTGTTATGGTCGTAATAGATGTACTTCATAATATTGACCAAAGGCTCTTTCTAAATAGACAAAATACTGAGGTTCCTCCTATTTTTTCCTACATATAATGCTTTACCTAATGGACTTCTGAGGAACTCCAAACACTAAATCATGGCCTATCAAAGAACAATTTTAAGTCAGGGGCTTGTTCTTTATCTCATAATGCCAGTGTTTTCTAGAAAGAAACATTAAAACACTATTAGCCAGTGATTTATCTTTTTATTTTCGTGTCACAAACTAATAAATGGAATAAATACAGAGTCATCTGAATAACAACTGGTTTGGGGCTATGTGTGTGTTACTACTGTGTACGCTGGGTTTGTTAACTCCTGAATATCCTAAGGTGGTCACTCTTCCTATTTAGGCCAAGTTAAGGGGCAATTTACTCTGCTGAAGCTGTATTGTTAATGAAAATATAATAGCAAAGTTTCAGGTTGATTGCCTCTAGAAAGTTTTCTTTTTATAATTAAGAAATTGCTTTGAGGGGGTGGAGGGGATGGCACGAAAGTCCAGGGTGGAGACTCGGGGTCCCTACATGTGGAGCCCTGCAGTTGGTGTTAAGTGGAAGTCTCAAGTCAGAGAACCCAACCCACAAGTCTTGCTCTGCTTCATCCTGGAGCAGGTGCCATTCTGTAGCGCCCACAGACTCTCCAGTAACCATGACAGCATCCTTTCTTAGACATTACATATATACCACAAGATATGTATCTGCTGGCACTGTCCATCGTTGAAGACATATTTGGAAAATGGCAATCTGCACAGGAAAAGCAGACCAAGGACATCCGTGTCTTTTTTTATTCTCTCTCTCTCTCTTTTAGAACACAGGTTGGCAAACTTTTTTGTACAGGGCCAGGTAGTAAATATTTTAGGCTTTGCAAGGCCCACAGTCCCTGTCTAAATTACTCAGCTCTGCCATTATAGCGTGAAAGTTGCCACAGACAATATATAAGCTAACAAGTATGACCGTGCTCCAATTAAACTTTATTTATGGACACTGAAATTTGAATTTCATATAATTTTCACATGCTACAAAATGTTACTCTTCTTTTGTTTCTTTTTCCAATCATTTAAAATATAAAATGTCACAACTGCACAAAAACAGGTAGTGGGCCACATTTAGCCCTTGGGCTGTAGTTTGCCTACCCCTGCTTTAGGATACAGACGGTTAGTTCAACTTAATCATTTTTTACTTTACAATGAATTCAGCAGAAACCATACATCGAATTTTGATTTTTGATCTTTTCCTGGGCTAGTGATACACAGCATGATACTTTTGTGAAGCTGGCAGCAGCAGCAAGCCATAGCTCCCAGTCAGCCACGTGATCACAGGGTAAACAAGTGATACCGTGCTCTACAGTAGACTGTATTCAATAAATTACATGAGATATCCAGTACTTTATTATAAAATAGTTTCGTTTTTGTGTTACGTGATTTTGCATACTTGTAGGTTAATGTAAGTGTTCCGAGCATTTTTAAGGTAAGCTAGGCTAAGCTATGATGTTTGGCAGGCTAAATGTATTAAATGCATTTTTAACTTGCCAGTATTGTCAACTTTTGATGGGTTTATCAGGTCGTAATCCATGGTAGGTCGAGGGGCATCTGTATTCGATAAGGACTTCCTTGCAGTTTTGTATTGCTGTTGAGCACATCAGGACTTCCCTGGGCTTGCCTGCCTCACCCACTGGTGTAGAAAGCACACTGCATGGTCATTAGGAGGAGAGATATTGACCAGAACTGTGATGGTGCTTATTTCCTTCTAGGGATAGGGTGGTCAGCTACACACTTGGCCGCAGGCTTCCAACAGATCATGTGAGTGGACAGCTGCAATTCCGATTTGAGATCACTTCCTCCATCCACCCAGGTATTTTCAGCATGAACTTCATGTCTTGTCCTAGGCTAGTGTATAAGTGTGGTTCCTTTCTCTAAAATACAATAACCATGGTTCTCTCCAGACATATCCTAGGTTTTGTGGTTCTCTATCTTCTCCATTTGAGGCCCAGAAGCCAGTGATCTATTCTGGAAGCCAGGTTGCTGTCCCCCTGATGGAGAAGCTTCTCTTCATTCTAGTGACCCAAAGGTAGAGGTTAGACAGTGGACTAAAGATTAACAATGAGGCCAACATGGATAGGGAGCTCTGTCTTATTTATCATCCTACTCCCAGCACCCACATAGGTATTTAATCATCACATACATGAATGAATGAATGAATGAATGAATGAACGTGAAACATCTTTCTACCTAGTAACTAGATATAGACTAGCCAGTTGCTGAAGTATGTCATGTTGAAGAACTATAATTGTACAGTGAATTTTTATAATATCACAGAAAAACATGAAAAGTATAAATAGGACAGAAAACTCCAGAATCATCCAATATTCCATTTAATGCTAAACAGATTTGAAAATACGAATGATAATATGCCCATAATTCTACTTTTGCTCTTCTTCTGTAGCCCCCATACATCTCAATATAGATCACACTGAGAACTGTTAGGACCTCCTGGACCATTTACAAGTTGCTGTTAAGTCTAATGAAGCTCTTGAGGACTTAAAGCCTGGAGTTTATCACTACCCACTTGTTAAACTCCAGGTGTACTTTCCTATGCCACTATGCAACTTAGATTGTAAGAAAACACCTTGACTATTTCGTCTTTTCAAATTCAGTCTATTTCTATATTCTGAGAATACAACTGACTCTTCCTTTGGTGTAGCCATAAGGACAGCTTTACAGCTCACCAGAGGGACTGATTTTCTTTAGTGAATTGCACTAGTGCATTTGAAATGGGGAATTTCACATCTGGCAGGAATCCAGTAGAAGAGCTGCAGGAAGGTAGAGTTAAACACTGGCTACTACCCCTTGAATGGCTGCTTAGGGTGAAGACCTTGTTTTGTTTTTTTTTAAATTGGAATAAACTCTGAATGTTGGGAACCTTCTAGCCTGAGATATTGAATGACTGTGATTGTTCCCATTCTTCATCCAGCCTTTTTCTTCTCTCTGGTTGCGTGAGAATACCACTTACCCCTTATGCCACCCTGCAGGACCTAAGCATAGGAAACATTCTGAGCAAATGCAATTAACTAAATATAATCATCAAGGAGCTATAAATAACACCACTACTACCCTCATCCCTGGAAGTCATTCCATGTGGCAAACACTGTTGAGCACCTACTATGTGCCCAGAACGGGGCTAGTGCTAAGTTTCGGGCATTTTAACCAAAAGATGAATTCCCTTGAAACAGATTTCAGAAATATATCCATGACTGCAAGTTGTTGTTAACATAGCAAGTGCTCAATCTTACAGAATTTTTCACTAGAACTCTGGCCAGTGAGAAACCCTCATCAATCGACATTCAATATCCTAATGTAGAAATCCCTTAGTGATGGCTTACATGTCCCACAGGGTATCCTAACACCACAATGCTCTCTTCTGGGAGAAATGACATATTTTTCTTCCTACCAGCAGATGATGAGGAGATTTCCCTGAGTACGGAGCCTGAGTCAGCCCCCATTCAGGACAGCCCCATGAACAACCTGATGGAAAGCGGCAGTGGGGAACCTCGATCTGAGGCACCGGAGTCCTCTGAGGGCTGGAAGCCAGAGCAGCTGGGTGAGGGCAGTGTCCTGGATGGTCCAGGGAACCAAAGCATGGAGCTTTCCAGACCAGCTGAGGAAGCAGCAGTCATCACAGAGGCAGGAGACCAGGGCATGGTCTCTGTGGGACCTGAAGGGGCTGGGGACCTCCTGGCCCAGGTGCAAAAGGACATCCAGCCTGCCCCGAGTGCAGAAGAGCTGGCCGAGCAGCTGGACCTGGGTGAGGAGGCGTCAGCACTGCTGCTGGAAGACGGTGAAGCACCAGCCAGCACCGAGGAGGAGCCCTTAGAGGAGGAAGCAGCGACACAGAGCCGGGCTGGAAGGGAAGAAGAGAAGGAGCAGGAGGAGGAGGAGGGAGATGTGTCTACCCTGGAGCAGGGAGAGGGCAGGCTGCAGCTGCGGGCCTCGGTGAAGAGAAAAAGCAGGCCCTGCTCCTTGCCTGTGTCTGAGCTGGAGACAGTGATCGCGTCAGCCTGCGGGGACCCCGAGACCCCGCGGACACACTACATCCGCATCCACACCCTGCTGCACAGCATGCCCTCGGCCCAGGGCGGCAGCGCGGCAGAGGAGGAGGACGGCGTGGAGGAGGAGTCCACCCTCAAGGACTCCTCGGAGAAGGATGGGCTCAGCGAGGTGGACACGGTGGCCGCTGACCCGTCTGCCCTGGAAGAGGACAGAGAAGAGCCCGAGGGGGCTACTCCAGGCATGGCGCACCCTGGCCACTCCGAGGGCCACTTCTCCAGCCTGGCCAATGGCGCAGCCCAGGATGGCGACACGCACCCCAGCACCGGCAGCGAGAGCGACTCCAGCCCCAGGCAAGGCGGAGACCACAGCTGCGAGGGCTGTGATGCGTCCTGCTGCAGCCCCTCGTGCTACAGCTCCTCGTGCTACAGCACGTCCTGCTACAGCAGCTCGTGCTACAGCGCCTCCTGCTACAGCCCCTCCTGCTACAACGGCAACAGGTTCGCCAGCCACACGCGCTTCTCCTCCGTAGACAGCGCCAAGATCTCCGAGAGCACGGTCTTCTCCTCGCAAGATGACGAGGAGGAGGAGAACAGCGCGTTCGAGTCTGTGCCCGACTCCATGCAGAGCCCTGAGCTGGACCCGGAGTCCACGAACGGCGCTGGGCCGTGGCAAGACGAGCTGGCCGCCCCTAGCGGGCACGTGGAAAGAACCCCGGAAGGTCTGGAATCCCCCGTGGCAGGTCCAAGCAATCGGAGAGAAGGTTAGACCTCAAACCTGATCAGAGTGAGAATAGGACCGTCAGGGGGACAAAGGTGTCACCAACAGTTTAAAAACAAGAGGGGCGAGGGATCGGTGTCAAACGGGGTTGCTGGGGCAATGTATGCCTGTCTTGTACATATATGTGTGCATGTGTATCTGTGTTTGAGTATAGATGACTGTGAGTAGCTGACACCTCACCATGTCTCAGATACACACCAGGAATTATGACTGGTTGGATGTGAGCGTGCACTTGTATGTGTGCTTCTATGTTTGTTTTAACTAATCACCAGAAGTGGTTAGTGTACATGTTATCCTAGTCTTGACAGCAGCCAGAGCCCCAAGACTAGTATCAAATGATATATGTGGGAAATAATCTATCTACATTAAATGGATAATGTGTAAATATCTGCTGACTTTCAAAGCACATGGAAGATTAGCAATAGATGTTAATATTAGTTGAAGAACAGATTTTACCTCTGTTTTAGAATTCAACTAGCCCATGTACGTACATGTAGATATGTCTAGCCTACATATATTTGTCATTATTTATGTCCACTCAATTCTTGTTATTACTGTTGGTTTTGTTTTGTTGTTGTTGTTGTTGGCAGCTAATGGAAGGGAAAATAACATGATTGTGTATAAATCACTTTGTTTCCAATAAGAATCGAATCCAAAAGCTGCCACCATTAGTTTTAAAACATATTCTGTGTTTTAACCAAAGATGTTCTTTCTTAGTCATGCCTGTGGAATTATATGTGAAATTAATTTGCATTTCCTTATCCAGGAGTGGGAATTGTCTTCCAGTAAAGTGACAGTGGTATGACTGGGGAAAAAAAAATTGAGAAGTCACCTAATAATATGAAATAATTCAGTTGTTTTAAAAGAGAAAAACATAGCATCTGCTATTTTGCTGTTCTGCTGTTGAAATTAGCCTCCAACAAAAGGTGGGGATATTTTCTCTAGATTGTAAGCTCATCAAGGGCCAGAGTTGTGTTTCTTTATGTTTGAATTCTTAGCACCTAAACAATTGTAGGCTGAGGTGCCTACAAACTTTTTTGAACAGGAGCTAAAGTGAGCATTAAAAAAATAATTTTAAGTATTCAATAATGCCCGCTTCTACATTTCAGAAAAAGAGTGAGAGAAGGTGGCACATGCGAAAATGAGAAACGCAAGGAAATTGGTAGAGAAAAAGAAACACAGGCAGAAAGGTCAAACAGACAGCATGGAAAGGCACCCACAAGGAGCGGGATGGAAAATCCCTCTTGTGAGGAGAAGGGAATGGGAAATGCCTTTCTGTCACAGGGATGTTTTGAGGACTTCCTTTATTCTAGGCCAGATGTAATGCACTGGGCACAGGAAAATGGATTGGCATCAGGTGATGTATGGACATTACTCGATAATTACAGCATAATTTAAAAAAATACAACAGAAGGAGATTGGGGGATTCCCACATAAAAGGCACACGTAGGAGCTGGCAGGGATGTTGAGTTACAGAGGTCTGCAAACTTTTTCTATGAAGAGCCAGATAGTAAATATTTTAGACTTTGTGGGTCAAGAGGTAAAAAATTAAGTAACTGTTTTCACTAAAAAGCTTTTAGTACTGAAAAGTGTACTGACACTTTTCTTGGCTCAGAACCATACAACCCTGTTTTAGTGCACAGTCTGTTGGCCCCCATGTTGGGAGATAATCTACACATGGTCAATTGAAACTTGGCCCAGTGTAAATTTATATAAAAGCATGTTTTACAAACAAAAAAGTCACATCCTTGCCCTTGAGAGGTGGAACAGTCTAGCAGGTGGAAGCGCAGAAAGTGTTTCAGGGCCACAGTGGACATCTCTGCATTGGCATTGGCAGTGTCTAAAGAAATGTCTAAGTTCCTGAACTCTGCAGCGTGTAAACGCAGAAAAGGTTAAGAAGCACCTACATGTTTCATTATGGCGATCACAAGGGGAAATACAGAGATTCCCAAGGGGTCTCTTGAACTCCTGAAGGCCATGCACGTGCTGGCATGTGACTTCTTTCCAGCCAGCCTTCCCCCCTTCAGCAGTGAGTCCCCGAGCTAACAGTGTCTGCATTGTGGGACTGTCCCTCACTTGCCACCAGGCTTCACAACAGCAGGTGCTTCAAGAAAGCAGGGCTTTGACATGACCTGCCTCATATGTGATTGTGTGGGTGACCTCTGCTTCCATAAAAATCCCTATTGCTCTTTCGCCTTGACTTCCAAGATTGCAAATCCCTTTACTGTAGAAACTGCATTAGATGGCTGGGTGTGTTGGCTCATGCCTGTAATCCTAGCACTTTGGGAGGCCGAGGTGAGTGGATCGCCTGAGGTCAGGAGTTCAAGACCAGCCTGGCCAACAGGGTGAAACCCCATCTCTATTAAAAAAATACGAAAAATTAGTTGGGCATGGTGGCGGGCACCTGTAATCTCAGCTACTTGGGAGGCTGAGGCAGGAAAATCACTGGAACCCAGGAGGCAGAGGTTGCAGTGAGCCGAGATCGCACCATTGCACTCCAGACTGGGCAACAAAAGCAGAACTGTCAAAAAAAAAAAAAGAGAGAGAGAGAAACTGCATTAGATTAACTCATGTGGATTTGTTGTCCACGTGCCCACATAGATGAGGTGGCAACAATTTATAGAGGAACACTTTTCTAAGTCTGAACTGACAACTATACGGGCTAGTATTCTTTTCATACTTTTTGCTTCATTTCCCTCTATGAATAGCTCCTTTTTATAAGTTCAATTTAAAATAGTTCTTAAAAGACCTTCTGCAGATGAATGGAAAGAGTAATATAATATCATGGTTGTGAGCTCAGGCCCTGGAGTCAGGTCTCTTGGATTTATATACAGTCCTCCCACTTCCTCACCAAGTTACCTAGCTGCTCTGTGCCTCAGTTTCCTCATGTGCAAAATGGGTATAATTATAGGCTCTCCCTCAACGGGTTGTTGGGAAAATTGAATGAGATTATACTACAAAAGCACTCTGCCTCCCACCAAGTGAGGGTTCTTCCAGGCGGAGAAGCAGTGAGGGTAACTGTTTAAATTATGTTGTATAAAGCATCTAAAACAATCCTTTGAATTTGCATTTCCTGTACTTTATAATTCAAGAGACATTTTCACATTATTAGGTATAAATCACTTTGTTTCAAATAATATGTGAGGCAACCTATCTTTCTCTACAATTAGGTCACATTATTTATAAACAGAAGGGAATTTAAAAGGATGTCACTTGCTTTTAGCTGAGGAATAGATCTCCTTCTGGGAGGTTCTGGTGGGTTTCAACACTTGCTTTGTGTTTGAGGCAAGGGTGATGATGTGGAGCCCTGTCCTTGTGCAGAATAGAACTGCTTGCTTCTTCAGTGCCTCCATCCATTCAGTCGGCTGAGATATGTCGGTCACATCATTGCATTTGCTTGGGGTTCACAAGCAGGTGGGATCAGCTCCATTAACCCCAGGCAGTCAACAGTATTGTATTTCCACTAGCTTGGAGGAGTAATTAACCTGATTGGTTGCCTTAATTTCAAGAGGTAAGTCTATTGTTGTTTTTAAAGAAACTAAATTAAAAATGCAGCAGCTGATGACATAACAACTGTACCATGGTTTTGTTTAATTTCGGACACTAACCACATATACAAACAAACATGAGTGTGGTATCCACTTAAACACAGAGCCCATCTTTGAAACAGCAGTCTGTCCACAATGAACTGGGTGCCAGCATGAGAGGAACCTTCATTGTTTTCTATTAGCGTCTCCAAGGACCCAGAGGATTTGAGTAACATGCCAGAATTTGCTCAACAAATGATGTTCTATATTTAATATTTAAAAGGACCCTTTGTTCCTGAATATATCTCTACTTCTGTTTGCCAGTTAGCTCTAGGAATTAAATCACAAAATTAAACCCACCTTTCTTCCTAATTAATTTATTTTTATTTTTGATCAGTTCTATAGAACTAGAGTGAGAAGAAATAATCATCCTTTCCATGTGTGGATATTCTAGGAAATATTCAGCATTTGAGATCCTACAACCATTTGACCACCATTTTCCAGTCTCTCTTCTTTTTGACCCAAGGGATAATGGAACACTTGCTATTTGCATCAGCAGAGGACAGAAGAAGGAAAAGGCCTGACCTTTGCCCTCTGGCCCTTAAAGGCTTTTGCAAGAAAACCAGCACGGTGTGAGGCAGGAGGAACCGTCTGAAAAAGGGCCATCCTTTGTCCTGGGCCCTTCTCACTCTGCAAAGATCAAGAGCACTGGCCTCTGATTATGTGACCCAAGCAGCTGGTGCTGCAGGCCTGCCTTCTGCATGGCTGCTCTACATGCCTGAGGACACCACTTCAGAACATTGTTCAGTTCGTTATAAGTCTGAACTGAGAACAATATAAGCTATGTCTGTCGTAGGTTTCCTTTTAATAATCTGAGGCATGCATCCTGTGGATATGTTTATTTCTGAACTTTCTCCGTGTCTGTCTTTCTTCCTCCTTCTTTCCCATTTCTGTGTTTTGAGCTTTCCTGTCACCATCTTTCTGCTTTTTATCTACTTCCTTTGTCTCTTGTCCTTTCCTCTTTCCAGAGCACCCTGGCTTGTCTGATTTCTCCTCAAAATAATCTGGACAGTTCTGAGACCCCTCAGCACCTTGGCTCCCCTCCCCTACCCCCCAGCCCCCAGCTTTCCTACTACAGGAATTTACATTACATTCTTGGCTTGCCAGCTCCTTGACCTGTCTTGGAAAGGTAGCATCTAAGAATTCATTCCCCTCAAAAATCTGAAAAACAGCCTTTCGGCAGCCCTGTGATGAAACCTATCCAAGTAAGGAGGTGTCATTTTGCACAAGCCCAAGGAACTTTTATGGAACCTTATAAAACGCTGCATTTCCCTCAAACAGGCCTATTTCCTCCACTGGGCTGCAATCAGGCTCTGCTAATTTTCTCTTGTGTTCCTTTCTGGTGCCACCTTCTGATTCAGGAAATTCGGGTCATTACAGAATCAGACTCAAATCCTACATATTGGACTGTGTGGCACAGATCATTAGTTATGAAGTGTTTGGATTTTCTTCTTTTTTAAAAAAATATTTCCCCCTCTCATGAATGACTGTGAATGTAGCAAACTGACACACACAAATGGATTTCCCACTCTTTGGGGTTGTTTCTTGTGGTACTTAGTTTTACAGTCATGCTTTTTTGATGATGTTGCCACAGCAGTGAATGAATCTGAATGTATTGACTATCTTGTCCGTAGGTGAATGTCCTATACTCCATAATTCCCAGCCAGTAAGCCAGCTTCCTTCCCTGAGGCCTGAACATCATCACTACCCAACAATCGATGAGCCTCTTCCACCAAGTAAGCTTTAGTTTTTAAAATCTGTGTCTTAACTCTTCCTATCAAGTCTAAGCAGGTCAGTATGAATTTGTGTGTAAACATCTAAAGTCTTTCCCAACTCCGTGCCTTACACTGTTAACAAAAACCAATATGACACCTACTCTAAAAACTGGTGGGGTTTTTTGGGTTTTCAGTTTGTTTTTTTGACTAGTCGTTTCACCATGTGATCCTGAAGAGAGAACACTGTGTTTTCAGCGCCTCTCAGCTTCTGAAATGGAGAGCGTTTCTTTATCACACTTGACTAGTCTTTGCAAACTGTTCATGACCTTTAAGTCCCAAATTTTACATTTTATATTTAAAATTGCAATTCAAGATAGAATAATCCTATTGTTCTCCATTGGATCTGTTACATCACAAGCATCTCCATATGTTAAAACAACTTCAACCCATCTGGGCACATGAACTTGTACTTCCCTTGCTATAACTTGCATCCATAGGTAATAGCTTCACATTTCTTCTGCAGTTCTTAGGGGTTGCCAGGCAAAATATCATCTTTAAGATAGAATTCAATGTCAGTTTCTCCTGGTAACTGTAGTATGTAATTAATAATTAACTAGTCATCTGAACTTGGGAAATTCATTTAATCTCTCAGAGACTTAGTTTTCTCATTTGTAAAATTTTAAAAATAAAATTTAAATGTCTTCATCTGCTAAATGAAAGGTTTGACCTAGATAGTCTCTAGATACCATTCTAGCTTTAACTTCATAATACTCCATTTAATAAACTTGTAGGAAGAATTCGGTACCCCAGACATTATGTACTCACTTAGCATCACATATGTTCGTGAATTCTGGAACATCTCTGTTTTGGTTTTGACTTATTTTTCAAGCAAAGATAATATTTAAGATTTGATAGATTTTACAACTACAGAATCTTTCCAGAATGCAAGGAACCAGTGTTTCTTTACATTCTTTTGCCTGTGCTTACATGAAGCAGTTACAGTTTTCGAAAGGACAAGTGCTTATTTCTTAATTCATCTGTTCTTGGTAATGTGCTGTACTTTACCGGAACACCACTCCTCTCCCTATTCAATTGTAATTTATTGGTGAGAAATCAAAGGACATCTTTAATATGTGGACTAACTTAAAGAAACACAATATTTGTTTTTCAAGGGCCAAGCCAAACATCATGTCCTTGAACTTTTGATGCCTGATTTCTTTCTTTCTTTATACACTGATTTATGGACATTCCATAAATGAATAGTAAAATTTTAGCATCACTATAAATACTTCCTAAGTAACACTTAATTGAAAAATATGTATAACATTTTATCTCCAGGAAAGGGACGCTTTCCCCACAACAAATAACCTTTCAATGCATGAATCTCCTTCAAATCTGTGCAGTACAGATAACTAGTTATACATGCAAATATTATAAATGATTGTATATAAATCCATTGTAAAATAATTACTTTATATAAACCACTTTCAATAATGAGAACAAATTTCTCCAGATATTTTTCAATTTTCTATCCATATAACAGTGAAAGACCTTAGAAAAACTGGTAATGAATCCTACCAACTGAATATTGTTAAATAATCTCAAATAGTACAAGAATTACCTTATTGCTGATAGTCATTCATTCAACAAATATTTATTGAATGTTTCCCCTGTGCTAGGTACTATTGTGGGTAAGCAAAACAAAGATTCCTGCCCTCATGGAGCTTACAGTCTAGTCTGGAAGACAGATTAGCAAACAATAATTAAAAAGGGACTGGCCTAGCATAGGAGATGCTATGGAAAAGCAAAAATAGACCAGGGTGAGGGATCTCTGAGTTCGTGTGGTGGCGGCTGGTTTGCAATTTTAAAACAAGTGGTGAGAATAGGCTTCATTGAGAAAACAACACCTGAGGGTTAAGGGAGTTATCCCTGCAAGTGTTGGGCAGGAAGAGCTTTGCAGGCACAGGGAATGGCCGCTGCCAGTCAGGAGGTGGAAACACCCTCGTGGGTTTAAGGAACAGGAGACCAGTGCGTCTGGAGCAGACTGAGGAAGGGAGAAGGCAGCAGGTGATGTAGTTAGGGAACTAGCAAGGCCCAGATCACGCAGGGCCTTGTAAACCACTTAAGGGCTTTGGCTTTTACTCTGAATGAAAGGAGGACATTGTAGAGTTTTCAACAGAGAAGTGACATTGTCTGCCTCAGGTTTTGAAAAGTTTGCCCTGGTTGCTGTGTAGGGAATAAATTGCGAAGAGGAAGGATAGAAGCATGAGATTCAACATAAGATTATGTCTTTATGCAGTAACCCAGGTGACAAACAATAGTGTAGCTTGGGCCAGGGTGGGAGCAGTGGAAGTAGTGAGGTCTGATTCTGGCCATATATTTTAAAGGTAGATTTGACGACAGATTGGATATGTATATGAGAGAAAGATAGGTATCAAAAATGACCTAAGAGTTTCAACCTACAAAGATGAAATTGCCTTCAACTGAGATGGGTAGGAAAGGCTGCAGGCAGAGCAGGTTTTGGTGGGAAGGATCCGATACTTGGTTTTGATCATCTTATATTTGAGATGCCATCCAGGTAGTAATGTCAAGAAGGAAATTGGATGTGTGACCCTAAAGTTCAAGAGAAAGGTCTAGACTATGCAATAATATTGCGTTTGTTAAAATTGTTCAAAATGTACAGTTGTATAGATTTTTGTTAATATAATAACTAAATATGATACATGATCAGGTTCTACATTGTTCTTGGACTTTATGGAGAACATATAATTTAGTGTGCAATAGATCCTATAGTCTCAAATGAATTGACCTGACCTGCACTGCTATAACTTGCACCAGCATCATGAAGGTACTGTTTTCAGGTGGTCTTTAGACAAACCCATGGCATCACAGTGCTGAGCCCTTCAAGTCATGCTAATGCCTGAAGTTCCATTTGGAATTTATTTCCTTTGGTTATAAAATATGTGAAAGCAAATTCTTTACAAAGCAATCCAGAAAACATGTACATAATTTCTGATTACACTTAGCTATGATTTTCTGAATATGTATGAGTATATATAGCACAATACATTCCAGATATTTAATGTATTGACAAAAGAGCCCAGCTGTTGGGTTTACTACACTTTTCCATGAGGAATTGAAACATGTGGTGATAAGTTATCATTATTGCAACTTCATTTTCTAGCTTTTTCCCTTAATTTATAAAACCCAACCTTTCTCTGCAAAGGACCCCTCTCTTTACTGTAGGTTCCTGGAGGGCAGGGTCATGTGTCACTCAGCTCTGTGTCCTCAGGACCTGGCACGGTCTCTAGTTCAGAGTGAGTGCTACATAGTTTGTTCAGTTGAATTAAATTGCACAATGCTCTTCAAAGACTAATGGTCATTTTTTGTTGGAAGACAGTCATGTTGGATTCAAGAAAAATAGTTGTCCTGTTGCTTTTACTAATATTAGTTTGGGATCCATTAAAATTTTTAAGTTTCTAGATCAAGAGTAATTACCTAGTAATTATATGTATATACAATTTCATCCATGAGCTAATTACCATTTACACCTAACACTTGACAGCTGGATTATCTTTAGATAATCATTAGATCAATTTTAATCAAAACCTCCTAGCACATATTTATACAATCTGCCTACATCTTTTCTTCAATTTATCTCATAAGTTACGTTTGGTGTTTGGGGGTACTTTGGTTTTTACTGGGCATTACTTGACAATCCGTCAGGTCAGGCATAAGCCATAATGCCACAAACAGATATACTATGTACATATAAAACAATAAATATGCCAAATATATTTTTTCCCTTAAAAAAATGAGAGTTGCTATGTCATTACCTGAATAATAAGTTTTCAATGGAACTGTTAATATATGACCTACTCCCAAAAGCTATGGCTTTTCTCACTGAAAAGGCTGGATGGTTTTCCTCCTTTTGCGGACATTTGTGCTTTTTCTTCTTCTTTAGTCTTGTGTATTTTCAGCATAACTTTACCACACTGCTGCTATTTCCACAATGCGATGTGTGGAATCTAAAAGCTTTGCCCATCTCTGTACAGCAGGCATCGCTCTTCTATGTTTCGCTCAAATGTGAACACATTGCTTCCAGCTCTTTTCCACCCACCTCACCCCAACGCAGCCCCTGCCTGTATTATGTAGTGACTCATCCATGCTTCCACCTTTTTGTTTTCTATTTTTGTTTTCTTTTGTTTTTAATTTGGGAAGCAAGGGAACTTTTCTTTATCTCGGGCTCCCTCTACTGTTTGGGATGGTTATTTATCAACAAAAGGGTACTGCCTAGTTACTGGTTTGGTTTGGTGGCCAGAGATATTTGACAACTGCGGGTTGAATATACACTGTTAATTAACAACTTATCAAAAGGCTGTTTTGAAACCCTAACAATAATTTCCTTCCATTCACCCACTCAAGAGGAAAGGCAATCGATTAAGTTTGCTAACTATAAGACAGAGGTCATCTAAATTCGCAGATCCAAGATTTTAGAACAGTAGTTAAAACTGGTTTTAATCTGAGGGCCATTCTTCTCTCCACTGAACCCAGACTTAGCAAAGAAAGGGTTCTCCAGCATCACAGTGTCAGCTCTCACTGGAGGATACTCCAATCTTCCACAGCTGTCGTTTGAGTAGCCAACAAGAGTGACAGTGGGGATGGACATTTCTAAAGAAATAAATTCATTAAACATTAGATTTTCTCTTTAGAAATTATTAGAATTTTGGCCGGGTGTGATGACTCATGCCTGTAATCCCAGCACTTTGGGAGGCTGAGGTAGACCTGAGGTCAGGAGTTCGAGACCAGCCTGGTCAACCATGGCCAACATGGTGAAACCCTGTCTCTACTAAAAAATACAAAAATTAGCCGGACCTGGTGGCTGGCACCTGTAATCCCAGCTACTTGGGAGGCTGAGTCAGGAGAATTGCTCGAACCCAGGAGGTGGAGGTTGCAGTGAGCCAAGATCGCACCGCTGCACTCCAGCCTGGGTGACAGAGCAAGACTCTGCTTCAAAAAGAAAAAAAAAAAAGGAAAGTATTAGAATTTTAACATAGGTCTTGGTCAAGGAACCACAATTACTGTTTAATATGGCCCAGCAGAGAGTCTGAGTTCATTAAACTGTTTTCTGAGCTCCCGAGTTCATGCCAGTGTCCCAGAAGTCGTGGCAGGTGCTGTGGGCAGGGTCTGGCCTGCAGCCATGAACCAATGGTGAGTTCTACCTGCAGAAGACCTGGAAGTTGTATGCGTTTCACATGGGTCAGTGGTTTGTCCTTGATTTTTCTTTTTGCCTTCTTGTTAAACACTAGACTGGGAAGCTCGAATTGACAGCCACGGGCGGGTCTTTTATGTGGACCACGTGAACCGCACAACCACCTGGCAGCGTCCGACGGCAGCAGCCACCCCGGATGGCATGCGGAGATCGGGGTCCATCCAGCAGATGGAGCAACTCAACAGGCGGTTGGTGATCATTATGCAATGAGCTCCCCTAAACCACAGTGAAAGGAGAATGGCAGCTAGAGACACTCCCCTTACACTTTTCTGCCCAGACTGTACGAGGAGACTGGAAAGTAATTAAGTATCTTAAGAAACCTATTCCTAGCAGGTATTTGGAAAGCTAGATTTAGAATTTGGTGGCAAGAGACAAGTTAAGCTTGAGTGTCATTTAAGGGTGGGATATCATCTAAACTTCTTAATAGCCTAGACTCAAAAACAGGAGTTCTTGACCAAGGGCCGGTGTATCCCCCTCTCCTGGGATGTTCACCAAGGATGTCAGTGTTTCTTGAACTTTCCAGGCACTATACCCAAATTATGCATAGATACACATTTTTCTGGCTGACTGATCCATACCCATCATACAGTTCTCAAAAGGATACAGACCTCGGTTAAGAACATTCCAAGGACAGGTTCCATAAGAAGACTAAAAGCTGCCTGGAGAATAAACTGTCTCATAAATCACTGTATGCATTCCTACCCTGATCCCATAATTGATATATGCCTATCAATAATAATTCATGAAAAGCCTTCATCTTAGAAAAAGAAATGTTTAAAAACATTTTTTGAGAATTTTTTTTTTTGAGAACTTGTAAAGATATCATTTTGTTTTTAACCTACAAACAAAACCTTAAACAGTATCAGGCTTAAACAGTGGTCCATTCATGTCAGAGATGACGCAGTAAGCTAGTATAGAGCATTGTCTCTGACATCTTGCTCTTTAAGACCGGAGTGGCAGCTTCAGGATACTTTTGATTACCAGGAATTGCAAACTGAGGCTTCCTTCAGTTGAAATTGCACCCACATGCTGTCTTGCTTTCATGTCAAGTATGAAGGTGAAGGAAAAGTTGAGAAAGACTAAAAAGAATGAAGAACTGGGTTTGTGGAACACACCTACTGATAGCAAATGCCTTTGAGATTTAACTGTTATCTGCCAGAAAAAAAGGAGGAGAAACAATTTAGTCCTATTAAAAACACATGGGGCCGGGCACGGTGTCTCATGCCTGTAATCCCAGCACTTTGGGAGGCCGAGGCGGGTGGATCATTTGAAGTCAGGAGTTTGAGACCAGCCTGGCCAACATGGTAAAACCCTGTCTCTACTAAGAATAGAAAAAAATTAGCCAGGCGTGGTGGCAGGCACCTATAATCTCAGCTACTCAGGAGGCTGAGGCAGGAGAATCGCTTGAACCTGAGAGGCGAAAGTTGCAGTGAGCTGAGATCACACCATTGCACTCCAGCCTGGGAGACAGAGTAAGACTCCATCTCAAAAAAACAAACAAGCAAAAAACATGGAAACAAAAAAAAAAGAAAATGAACTTCTGGTTACTGTTGTACACAGAGGAACATACTTTAGGTGAAAATCACCAGAACATTTTTTCATTGCCTGAACGTTTGGAAGACATTTGCTTTCCACCTTTCCCCATCAGCAGCTGAGTGTTGAAGTCATTAACAAAAACCATAAAAGACTTGCATTGGCAGCACACTTTACAGTCATTCCCACTCCAACAAAGCATGTTACAGAGAGGAAGTCCTGATAACCCAGTTTTACAAGGCATGAATGGACCAAAATCCATGGGAGAGTCCTTTCATGGTGATTGCAACAAGATTCGTGTAACTAAAAATGTAGAAGACAAAGTAAGCTCATCTTAGATAGAGACCCTGTTGTGATTCCGTAGGCAGAATTTAGCCCCTAGGTCTCTCTTGCCAAAACTGATAAGCTCCAATTGTTTAGCAGAGAAATAGGGGAAGGCATCGTCAGGCTGTATTCATAAGAGGTGCTGTTTTGAACACTAACCAAAGCAAGACAATGAATCTGAAGCAGAAGGAAGCACCTTGACCTATGGCATAAACATCCATGGAAGTTTATCGGGGTGATCAGCTTGCATAATATAAAAATTAGGCCAAATCCATCCTGAACCAGGTCTCCAAATAAGTTTTATAGCCTTTGATATGAATTCCTGTGCCCTCCAGTGGAGATGAACATGCTGGGAGAGGCAGCTGGACTTTGCCGAATAGGAAGTTGCATTTGCTACATCCATCTGGTCAGATAAAAAGAAAAGGAATTTAGCACTTTGAGAAGGTACTTATTTCTTGTGAAAAAGTGTACCTAGGGAAGATCAGATAACCTTCAAATAAGTATCCAGGCTTTTCCATACTTAGCTTAACCTATTGCTTTGAAGCATTTAAGATTTTCTGTATTTGGCATGATAACAGGCAGCCCCAGAAAGTACACTTCCAATCTTCTATCCATCTCACATGCGACCACACACACCAGGGTCATTATTTTGATAACCCACAGTTATCCGGAGAAATTTACAATGATTACTGGCTCACAGCCATGTGAAAGTATTACTCAGTGTTGCAAGGAGTTTCCCTTGAGCCTAACCAGATGACTGTGAAAATCAGATGTGTTTGTGCAAGGAGACATAACACTAGGAAGTGCAGAGTATACAGTAGCAATCAATGTGGAAGCTTGTGTGGTAGGTCGCAGTGACCATGTTCCAACTCAGCCATTCCCCAGACACAGCACACTCTTCCAGGCCTTTATGGCTTGGCCACATGGTCCCACTGCAGGAAAATGCCTCATGCCTGCCTCCCACCTGAAACACAGCTTGTCCTACAGACCTGACTCAATGTCATGTGCCCCAGGACGCCGTCCCAGAATCCTCCACACAGAGCCAGTGACTTCCTCCCCTGTAGCCTCCAGAATGTGCCTGCCTCTGTTGCCACTTCTTACCTTTTTGCCTTATTCTTCCTTCTACCCTTCTCTGCTCCCAGCACCTAGTGTGGTGCCAGAAGGTTAATAGGACTCAGTACAAGATCGTTTTCTGGGTTAATTCCCATGCTTTCAGAATATCCAGAATTAATTCTACTTTCACAAATATTTACTGAAAAGCAGAAAATATAAATATGTATTCTTATTTTAAATAATCAACTAAAGTTTGATTTTTTAATTATTTGTATAAAATTATGATAATTTAAGGGAAATCGAAGTTTTAAATAGAAAAAAGTGATCTATACTTTAGCTACCCCAAGGATGATTTAGCTTTTTTTTTTTTTTGAGACAGAGTCTCACTCTGTCGCCCAGGCTGGATTGCAGTGGCATGATCTCAGCTCACTGCAACCTCCGCCTCCCGGGTTCAAGCCATTCTCCTGCCTCAGCCTCCCGAGTAGCTGGGATTACAGGCATCCACCACCGCACTCAGCTGATTTTTGCATTTTTAGTAGAGAGAAGGTCTCACCATGTTGGCCAGGCTGGTCTCGAACCCCTGGCCTCAGGTGATCCTCCTGCCTTGGCCTCCCAAAGTGCTGGAATTGCAGACATGAGCCACTGTGCCCAGCCAATTTAGCTTTTTAAAAACACGTGTCCATCTTCAATTTCCATATGCATGCACAATTCTTACATGATTACGATGGTGATATGTAGTTAGTTTCATATTCTTTTTTCACTTACTACACTGTAAGCATTTAATATTGCCGCATAGTCTTCAGATTAACATGTAATTACTTGTATAGTATTCCACTGAATGGCTGAAGTTTAGTTAACCTAATTTCATACTGTTGAATGTTTTGCTTATTGCTTTTGTCACTGTTTCTTGTCGCAAGGGCCTGATAAATATTAAGACTGCCTTATAGTGGAGGGTTTCCTTAGGGTTCTATTCCCAAAAGATTAGGCCAAGGGAGATAAATGTGGATTTGGCATTTGGTATCAATGCCTAACTGCTTTCTACATTAGACATTGTGATTCTAGGGGTTTACTCTGCCAACAACTACAGCTTCACTTCCATCTTATCTTTTGGTTTGTTTTTGTTGCTATAAGAGGTGATCCTGGTATTTTGATGCCACTTAGATTTCGCTTGGTTTTGGAGGGCTTTTTTTTTTTTTCTTGTTTGGGTTTATATGTGTGTGCGTGCGTGTGTGTGTCCATTTACAAATTATGTATGTCAGCTGACTTTTTAGCTAATTTTCATTAACCCTCTATCTATTATAAATATTTAACCTTTTGCTACAAAAAAAATGGAGGAGGATATTGATGGATAATTCCTAATGAAATAGAAGAGAGCTGCTGCCTCTCTCTCCTGTTTAAAGCTGGGGAACCTCTGAGGCTGCAGTCCTGCCCTGAGAGATTGAGACCCTCCTCAAGCCACTGCATGCCCTGCTTCCCCAGACGGCCTCTGTGCTTCGGCAGAGGTTAGACATGGGGCCAAATGCAGGATTTAAGGCTGTTGACTCAGTAAGGCCTGCGATAACCAAGGTCCAGCTGAGGACATGTGTAGTAGGTTGTGACACTGCTGACATTATCCTCATCAAATAAGATCATATTTACTCATAATGCTCTGCTGTGGTTACTGCACATTGGAAAGGAAGGGAAGGTTACTGACATTTTTCTAAGCCCTATTCCAGGCATCTGTTGCTGAGTAAAACTACACCAAACATAGTGGCATAAAACAACCACAAGCATTTCTTCTTACCATTATTTCTCATGGTTCTGTTTTGACTGAGCCCAGCTAGACAGTTCTCTCCTGGGATATCTCCTGGTTGCAGTCAGAGGGTGGCGGGGGCTGGAGACTCACATATTAGGAGCTTGATGCTGGCTGTCGGCTGGGCCTCTCAGCCAGGACACCTGCACAGAGACTTTCCATGAGGCCCAGGCTGCCTCAGAGCATGGCTGCTAAGTTCCATCACGAGCTGCTACAAACTCTATTAGTCAAGGTAGTTGAAGGGGACATGGATTCTGTCTTTTAAAAGGAGAGATACAGTTCTGGAAGAGTAAGTGGGTCTAAAAATATCGTTGTGCCATTTTGAGAAATGCAGCCTGCCATAAGGCATTTAGGGAATCCTCCTGGTAGCAGCTGCCTTAGTCTTTGGCAGGCCCCGTTCCCCGCCTTGGTCAAGGTCACACACTTGGGCAGCTTCTTGCTGGCACCCCCTGCTTTCCTGCCACAGCTATATTCCCTGAGTCCACAACAGGGAGAAGATCACAGAGGGCCATCGTTCACCATCTATCACTCTTCACAACCTCCCACCACGGATGTACGGGGTGGTGAATTACCACAAATATTTCTGTCTATAGATACACCACCGCTCAGCTCATCGCCCACTTCCATATTTTGTTCTAAGAGGCCTGCTCAGGAAATGCCTTGCAGTAACCACTCCAGGCAAAGGTGGCTTCTGAAAGGTGTCAGAAGTGAGTGGGAGTCTCCCCAGATAAAACAACAGTGAAAGAAAGCCCTTAGACCAGTAGTTCTCAAACCTAGATATAAATAATACTTCCTAAAGAACTCGTTAGAAATGCAGATTTTTATTTTGCTTCAATTTCTGTAATTTTAACAATCACTCAGATGATGCTCTTGCAAATGGCCTGGAGACTACAGTGAGAAAGCTTTTCTCTGTAAGATCAAGGAAAGGGCGGGGCACTGGTCTGCAGAAATCCTGCCATAATGGAGCCTCGTCTGTGCAGCGAGCATCCCCGCGCATTCCCACCTGGGATTGCACTTGGAGACTGGCTATTCCCTGCTACCCTGTCTCTCATCCTCCTCCTCCTCTTCACCCCCTCATTGCTTTCCCGGAGACAGAAAGTCTCCAGCCTAGGCTGTTGCAGGAGCCCCCAGCTGCTCTCCGCAGCTCCAGGCTCCTCTCCTACAACGCATTCTCCACTCCGACACTGGGTAATCACTCTCTGTGTACATCTGGCCCTGCCTGGTTTTTTTGGTTGTTTTTAGCAGCCACCCATCACCAAGAACAATGGTTCATTCTCAAGATTGATCCCTAGGCCAGCAGCATCAGGATCACCTGGGAACTCATCAGAAATGCACATTCTTAAAAAAAAAAAAAAAAAGAAAAAGAAAAAAAAAAGAAAAGAAAAAGAAAAGAAAAAAGAAATGCACATTCCTGGGCCCTACGCCAAACCTACTGAATCAGAGACTCCGGGGGTGAGGCCGGCAGTCTGTGTTTTAAGTCCTGCAGGTGATTCTGCGCGGCTCAGGTTGGGGAACCTGTGGCCTAGAGAATAGCACCCATCCGACTGCAGGGCGCCCTCTGGGGCTCCTTCCTCCCTCTCCACTGGTCTCCTGGCCCTGCCCGGTGCCCACACACCCTGATGCCACTGCCAGGTGTCTCAGAGATCCCCGAGGGCGGCCTGCTTTCGCACATGTTGTTTCTCTTCTGAAATGTCCTTTCCCAACAAACTCTCCAACAAATTCATACTCCACCTTCACAATTTACAAACCTTGGGAGGTTCCTCATCTGTGTCCCACACACCTCTTGCCTGTCTGTGACAGCCTTTCACCTGGCTGGAGTTATGGCTTCCGTCCCATTTGCCTTTTGTTACATCTCGACTGTGTGTGTTTAAAGGGCAATGTCATATTCTCATCCTCTCCTCCATCGAAAAGTCCAGCACAAAGCCTTCACACATCGGAAGGGTTAGCAAATATTTGGTACTTGGCAAGGTGGCTAGCTGGCTGGCCAAATGACTAAGTCCCCAACTTGGGAAGAAAAACAAAATGAGCCTTTGAATAAGCAGAAAATATTTATTTGCCAGCATGCTATTAGGTATAATATTTCCATGACCTTTGCCCAATTATATCAATTATCCAACAAATAAAACTAAGTGAGTAGAACCGCTAGCCCAGTTTGTACACTTATTACAATAGTGTTGAGGTAATTTGATATCTTAGTTGTAGCATTTTAATTTACTTCCCACACTCTTATTTTAGACTTAGCCTGATTTTGTTTAATGCAGGGCACAGGCTGTTTTGCATGATTAGTTATTATTTGTGTTGATTTTTGAAAAGTCACCATACTTGAAACTCATCATAGCTTACAAAACAAAAAGAACTCGAATCATCTTAGAGATACTTGTCTTGCTAATTGTGCTGGCTATCTTGTGGGAATTTTAAGCATTTCTTTCCTGACACTCAAGACAATTCTTTACAGATTTCTCCAATTATCTGATTCAGAGTATTGGCCCCCAAGGAGCAAACCAAAGTTAACTCCTGTCTTTCCATTTTCTAATGCAAAGGTATCAAAACATTCAGCGAACCATTGCAACAGAGAGGTCGGAAGAAGATTCTGGCAGCCAAAGCTGCGAGCAAGCCCCAGCAGGAGGAGGCGGAGGTGGAGGGAGTGACTCAGAAGCCGAATCTTCCCAGTCCAGCTTAGGTATTGGAGGAGGGGTCCCCACAACCTGTGATGGCTTCCAGGGGCTGTGTGACAGAGGGCTACAAGCCTGTCACCCTGCCTTATGGGGAGCAATGTGCCCCAGGGTGAAGAGAGTGGAAGGCCAGGGTAGAGGATGGTGGCATGCCTGGTGCCCCCAAGGGAAAGCAGACAGAATGAGCTTCCCACCAGGAAACTTAGGAGAAGTGATCACAGTGAAGGAAACACCACCACCCTGGCGTGGGGATCTGGAGACAGGAAAGCAGATGAATTCCGGGGATGGAGCTGAATTTGCTAGAGTGCTTGTGGAGCAAGGCAACTTTGTCAGTGGCTCAATCATGTAGTGTTAACTAAATGTTTTATTTATTTATTTATTGTTAAGTAAATTTATTGTATTTGTTGGTGTCCTAAGGATTTTTTCACTTATAAATAAAACATGCAATAAAAATTCACAGTCTATTTCAAAGGAGCTGTGTGATAACACTAGGAATAATCACTCATTTGCACATAGAATAAAATTCAGTTCCCCCAAGAGAAGAACCTGGGAATGAAGAGGTTTTCCAGCATGCCACAGGAGGGAATTTTTACCCACTACAGTAGGCATTCACCTGGGGCCTGGTTTTCCTGGTCTTCATTTCTTTGAATTGGCCCAAGTGGAACTCCGACAAGGATAATCGAAAGGCATGAGACTAGCTTCCACCTTTTTTTTTTTTTAACCTGTAGTGAGATAAGATTATCACAGTGACATCCTAATAATCCACTTTCTTTTTAAATTGGGTAAATGATGGCAGATTTATTTGCCAAAAGAAGGGTTAGAGAACAGTCTGGGCAGGCAGCACTGGGATTCCAGTCCTGCCAGGTCTCAGCCGTCTAGGGCAATGCAGAATATTGGACATTTTCATGTGATTTTTAAAAAGGCACATCCACAGTTCCACCACCAATTTTAATTTCCCCCTTTCAATTTATTTTACCAGATATGCTAACTAAACTGACTAGTTTAGGTTTTTCTGTTACTATTATTATTATTATTATTATTATTATTACTGAAGAGAGAGCTCTCTTTGTCACCCAGGCTGGAATGCATGGTGCGATCATAGCTCACTAGAGCCTCAAACTCCTGGGCTCGAGCCGTCCTCCCAACTCAGCCTCCTGAGTAGCTGGGATCTCAGGCATGCACCACCACACCTGGCTAATTTTTTCATTTTTTGTAGAGACAGAGTCTTGCTATGTTGCCCAGGCTGGTCTAAAATTCCTGGCCTCAAGCGATCCTCCCGCCTCAGCCTCCCAAAGTGCTAGGATTACAGGCATAAGACACCACACCTGACCTGTTATTTATTTCTTTGTTCAAACTTCTGAGAGAGACAAGGTACAATAGCCAAGTAACTAGAAACACGAGGAAAAGGCAGCAGAAAGTTTATTTCTGAGTTTGATATTAAATGAGTTGGCATTTACTGTTTTAAAAAAAAATCCCACAATTAGTGGCTGAAACTCACAGCCATGCATCTACCCCACAGTTCTACAGGTTGGCAATTTGAGCTGAGCTCAGCTGGGTGGCTCCTCAGAATGCTGCTGAGCTCACCTGTCCATCTTGGATCAGCTGTGGAGTCGGCCAAGGGCTGACCTGAGACAGCTGCCACTAGGGTGGCTTGTCCCTGCTCCCATGGCCCTGTGGCCTCTCATCTTGCAGCAGCCTCGCCCAAGCTCATTCTCATGGCCGTAGCAGGGTTACCAGAGAGTGGAGACACACAGGTCTCTTGAAACCCTGATGCAGAACTGATCCGTTGTCACTTCTGACGTGTTCTGTTGGTTGAAACAAGGCACAAGGCCAGCCCCAATTCACCAAAGGGAAGAGCAGCAAAATCCCAATGCAACTGGGTGTGGATACAAGGAGAGGAATTGTGGTCCTTTCCGCAAACAGTCTATCACAGCTATGGTTAGCAATTTGTAAAGGAAATAAGAAAAAATAGCCAGGCATGGTGGTGCATGCCTGTAGTCCCAGCTATTCAGCAGGCTATGTATCTGGGAGGATGGCTTGGGCCCAGGAGTTCAAGGCTGCAGTGAGCTGCGATCGCACAGCTGCACTCCAGCCTGGGTGACAGAGTGAGACCCCATCTCAAGAAAAGCAAAAAGAGAGAGAGGAAGGAAGGAAGGAAGGAGAAGGAGAAGGGAAAGGGGAAGAGAAAGGGGGAAGGGGAAGGGGAAAGGGAAGGGAAAAGGAAAGGGAAAGTAAGGGAGAGAGAGAGAGAAAGAGAAAGAAAAGGAAGGAAGGAAGGAGAGAAAGAAAGAAAGAGGGAGGGAAGGAAGAAAGGGAGGAAGGAAGGAAGGGGAAGGAAAAAGAAAATCATTGTGATAAAAGGGAAGAGATGTTGGAGGACTTGAGCCTTACTGAAGTTATGCAGAAACACTGCTAGGAAATGATGATTCTTAACTGACATACGTAAAGTAATGACACTTGGCCTAAATCCAACAGTCTGCTGTGTGGGTGAAGGCTTGTGTGCTGCTACCATCAGGAGCGAAGTACAGAGGTTGAAATGCCTTTTTCCCAACTTCATTTTTTCCAGATCTAAGGAGAGAAGGGTCACTTTCTCCGGTTAACTCACAAAAAATCACCTTGCTGCTGCAGTCCCCAGCGGTCAAGTTCATCACCAACCCCGAATTCTTCACTGTGCTGCATGCCAATTATGTGAGTGCCCTAAAATGCGGAGGGAGGGGCCTGGCTTGGCAAGACCCAAAACACAGCTTTGTAAAGTCATCTGATAGATCTGAAAGGGTAGAATTTTAACCTAAGCAAGAAAAAACAAAGAAGACAGCTCAGTCCACTCTTTTGACTATCTGTGAGACTCCCAAAAAGGACAAAGGCTGGATTTGGAAATGCTGTTGCCTCTTTGGGTTTTTGTTAGGCTCAAATGTGTTAATGTCAGTGAAAGTGCTTTGGAAGCAAACTTGTTATTATTATTATTATTAAAATTTTAAAGGAGCAAGATTATGAATCGGCCAGATTCCCTTCAACCTAATCATTTTATAAAATCATTTTCACTGATAAAATTTTAAAGCAGCGTTCTTCTAGGTAAATAACTGGGTTTCTTTTTGATACGGTTTTTTAAAATATCACACTGAAGTTAAATTTGATATGATTTAAATATGTAGTTTTTTCATTGCTTTTTTTGGTATTTTCAAGAAAGCAATGGCATGATATCACTATATTCATTAATTTTTCCATTCAACAAACATTTTCTGCGGTTCAGGCTCAGATCTAGATGCTGCAGTCACAAAGACAGATTAAGGTGATACCTAAACAGTAGGAGATCCCATTTTGTGGAGCAATGATGTGAAAAAGATCAGCCCAGTGTGACAGGACCAGGCCAAACTGAGGGAGGACAGGGTGCTCTGGGGGCGCTAGGGAGCATTCTTGGGGAGGCGGCTGAACTGAGTCCTGAAGGTCAAAAGTGGACAAGAAGAAGTCCAGGCAGAGGGACATCTGTAGAAAGGATGCACCTGTGAGGGGGTCTGGGGGACAAGCCCAAGGTGGTGAGTGTGAGTGACTGGCAGGAGGCAGAGAGGAGGAGGGGCTGGAGACTGGGCAGCAGAACACCTGGTAATTCCATGCAAAGGAGCCTGGATCTACTGCAGCAGGTCACAGGAGTCAACAGTAGCACTCGGGCTGCCTGACCAGGGGGGTTGATGATGCATTTTCTCTGGCAGAGTGTCAGGGAGAGAGACTGAGCTGAGGGGGTTGAGACACAGGCTGATTCAACCGCTGAGTGAGAGATGATCTGGCTGTGACCTAAGGAAGGGGTGGGAACGTGGCAAGGAATGGCTCCATTCAAGGACATTTCTCATGGACTCAGCAGCACTTAAGTCCACCGTGATCATGAGTGGTGCAAGATGATAACTCAAGAAAGACAGCGTAGTTTCTGCTTTGGGCACCTGGGTGAGGCAGTGACCGCACTAAGCTGGAGCTGGAGTTTGACTGGGTGATGGAGGGTGTGGCTACAGAGGGGGATATCAGTTTTTAGCAGGTTATTTCTGAGAAGCCTGTGGGATGCCCAGTGGCTCGATCCCAAGCAGCCCCCTAGAGGCGTTGTGGGGGCCACAGGGAGAAAGCGCGTGGCACATGGCCATGCCCCAGCTCTGGGTGCAGGTAGCCCTGGGCCAGTAGGAGCCACTGGCCCAACCAACCCCCTGTCTACATGTGGTCTGTCCCTTCACGCACGCCCCTGCCGCCACACACACACACACCAGCCCTTGTACCGTCACATTGTCATTTCTTTCTTCATCTGTTCCCATCCCCCAACCCCCTACACACACACACACACACACACACACACACACACGTTTTTACATAGGATTCAAAGAAATGACAGACCTCTCACGTCCAGCCTTCAATCCCCAGAGGCCCTAAATTAATGCTCCCTGTTTTAGACAGGTAGGAGGACCAAAGGCAGACCTCAATAGTCAGAAAAGGGACCATGGAGGAGAGAGAGGAGTGAGGTTCAGGCAGGTGGAGGGAGACCAAGGAGAGCCAGACGTGACTGAGACAGCGAGAAAACCGTGTGGAGTTGCACAGAGGGGTGGTGGGCCGCGTCCCGTACTGCGCAGCACTCAGGTGGAACGGGTGTCACAGATTGTCCCTGTGGGCCAAGGGGGCATGATTCAATGCACATTTACTTTTTTTTTTTTTTTTTTGAGACAAAGCCTTGCTCTGTTGTCCAGGCTGGAATGCAACAGCACAATCATGGCTCACTGCAGCCTCTATTCTCGGACTCAGGTGATCCTCCCACCTCAGCCTCCCAAGTAGCTGGGACCACAAGCACGTGCCACCATGCCCCGCTAATTTTTAAAATTTTTTGTAGAGATGGGATCTTGCTATGTTGCACAGGCTGGTCTCAAATTCCTGGGCATTTACTTCTTGAGCAAGAGCTCATTTTCTGAGGCCTCTACCTCACACTCATAATAAACCACTGTGTCACAATCACACTTAGCAGTGTTAGGGTGCTCACGGTGTGCTTGCTCTGTGTTTTTCCTCATTCCCCACTCCTTACCCCATCGCCCTGACCCGTCTCAGAGTGCCTACCGAGTGTTCACCAGTAGCACCTGCTTAAAGCACATGATTCTGAAAGTCCGACGGGATGCTCGCAATTTTGAACGCTACCAGCACAACCGGGACTTGGTGAATTTCATCAACATGTTCGCAGACACTCGGCTGGAACTGCCCCGGGGCTGGGAGATCAAAACGGACCAGCAGGGAAAGGTGAGTGTGACCCACATGCTGGGTTTTCATCAAACAGGCTCCTTCCCCAAGGTGAAGTTTAGCGAGGATGTGACGAGGAGGGTATAGGGAGGAGTTATGTCTGGGAGATGCGCTGTCAGCTGCCAGCAGGAAAGAGGGTGATGACCATCCACATCTGGGCTTCTCAACCTCAGCGCTACTGGGGGTTAGAAGGGGGCCAGGTCGGGGGAATACCCTGTGCCTTACGGGACATTAGCAGCATTCCTATCCCTCACACCACTAGATGCCAACCGTTGTGACATTGCTATGTGTTCCCTGGGGGGGCAAAGTCACACCTAATTAAGAACCACTGTCTGCATGATTTTAAATTTAGGTTTGGAACGTGGAACCGAATTCTGTCCAGTGAACTTTTGGTTGTTTGCCTCCTTAGACAGCTAACTCTCAGGGGATAAACTCGTTGGTTAAATGCAGTGACACTGTTAGAGGATTTGTTGTGATTTCCCTAATACACCTTAAGTTTTCTGTAAAACAGCCTAACAAGCAGAGTGGGGTGTGCTGGGCCCGTGTGATCTTCCCTGGCTTCCAGTTTGCTTCTGTGTGACCTTAACCCAAACCGGGCCTTTCTGGCCATGCTTTAGAAGATCAGCTGAGTCTGAAAACAAGAAGGTTTCTTCCTAATCTTCATCAGCCATCTCAATGTATTCAAAGGACAGACCAAGTAATTTACTAGAACTGAACCTGTGTAACCTTCTATGAACTTTACCAGAGAGAATCCCTCCCTCTTTCTGGTCCAAGGAACCAGAAGCTTTGCCTGCAGTCATGTCTGTGACGTGTCCTTTCCTCTGTGAATGTGAGCCTGCAAAGCTGTGTTCCTCAAAGGGAGCTGATTTGGCATCAATGTCCCCTCGAAGCCTTGCGTCTCTCTCCTACAAACCCCTTAGCATGCCTCAGAACCTGGACTCTCTGGAGTGTGTGGGGAAAGAATGGGGGACTCATTACAAGTCCATTCATAAAATGAATCTCTAGGACCAGCTCCTCTGTAACCAGGGATGAATTAGGGGAGGGGAAAGAGCATGCCTTGTGTAGTAGAAAAGCCACTGTAGCCAGCATCTGCTCCCTGGGATCTTCTCGTTGACTGGACGTGGCCTCTGTTGGGAGAGGGACAATGATTTGTATGTGGGGACTTGGTGATATGCATTAGGGTGGGAAAATGAAACCTGAGCCAGAACAGAAAGTAGAGGAGTGGCTTATCAGAGCTGGGTTTCGGGTAGCCACATTTACATTTATTGCTTAACCAGGACGCCAAGACGACACCACCATGTTCATCATGCAAACAGCACACACCAATGTGAACAGCTTGCTGAGTCTTGGATTTCCATGACTGCAGTTTTTGTACCAGGATAAGGATGTCAGGGAGCCCAGTGGAATGACAAGGAGGCTTCCCAATGCAATAAGCCCTGGTTCTCCATGGTACACATGCAGATAATGTGACATCCCCTGGTCGTCACACCAGCAGGGAAGCACAGAGGCTGAGATGCACTCTGAGAGTTTTGTTCCATTTGGGAATGCATATGAGGGAATTTCTGGCAAGAGCTCTTCCCCCTAATTCTCTTTAGCAAGAAGATATCATACATGAGAGAGAAAAATTCTGAATTTGAAATGAGAAGACTTTCAGTTATGACACCAACTAGCTGTGTGCCTACACACACATGCACACACACACACACACAAATGGTCTCACCTATTTCTTATTAATTGAACACACACACACACATACACACACTCATAGTGACAGAATGTCTAAGAGGCATACCATGTAGTGAATTGCTGGGGAAAGTTGCCTTAGACTTGCAATGTATTACCACAGTCCATAGGGTGGTCAGAAAGGAACAAAGGAGGATAGTAGGAAAAATACATGGACCAGTCCATCTCCGTCTAAATACGTGACCCTGTGCAAGTCACTCCACCTTTCTGAGCCTTAAAATAGAAACAATAATGCCTACATTGCCTTCATGATTTTACAACCAGATAAATAATAAGTTCATGAAGGAATGATTGATAATATCATGACAGATTAGTAGTATCTGCCATTCTTTCTCTTAATATCCCCCAAAATAATCCAAGATCAAGATCGTTAAGTGGGGGAAATAAAAGAATATCTCATTGCCAAAGCCCATTGATGAGGGGAATAGATTGAGAAAAACATATTAGGACTGTGTCTCACAGGTTTCACCCTTGGAAAGGATATGCTGCACAGCAGGCTGAGAGTTAGGAACACAACTCCCTGAACAATGGGGTGGCCATAGCTCACTATGCAAAAGCCACCTTCATAGCTGTCCAGAGCAGGTCCTTGCCCCTCACCCTGGACAATCTGCTTCTTGCTTTATCTACAAATTCAAACATGGCAACATTTGCTTTTATTATCCACCTTGATAGGAAGTAGAAGGGCTGGGCAGAGCTGTTTGGTGTCTTTGAATGCATGGTCATCTCTACAAAGGGGACAGAGGCAAGGAGCTCAGAGCTCTGCTGCTTCAGGAGGACTGGAGCAAAGAACACACTGGCATCTGACTCATCTGCCATCTTCAGATTCTGAGAAAGGAGGACAGAGCCTTCTGCCCAATTTAATAGAGATTGCATGTGTGCCTTATGCCTCATTCCAAGTCTGAGCTGAGGGAGGCGTCACCATCAGAGAGGTAGGGCGGTGGGCCCCGTGGGTCCTATCTTGTAGCAGACATGAGGCCAAGGCAGCTTCTGCTAAGGAATGAATAAATAAAATGAGAAGGGGCCTAGGAAGAGACACTAGTGCAAGAAGCAAACAGAATCTTGGTCTGACAAAAAGCATGTCTCTTTTTTCAGAAAGCATATTCTTTCTCAGAAAGTATAATTTTCTTTGGAAAATAGAACTGTTTAAAAGACATCTATTCATCATCCATGAAATGGCACAGGAGCACATGACTTCTGTTATTAACCAAGAGGAAAAAGCCACAAACAGAAAACAAGCTGGGAGGAAACAGACATAGGTAGTCTGAAAATAGCTGTTTTAAGATTGCAGGGAAAAGCAAAAGGTAATAATAATAGCATAAGGATAAAACAGAGCAGCACTGATGCTGTGTGAAATGTCATCACCGATATGGCGTATGAACATGGAAACAGCCCCTGAAGCAGAAGGAAGGGACCAGATTTCCATCAGTGGAGGAGACGGTTAAAAAAAAAAAAGCAAAAACTGAAAAAAGAAAAAACTTATCTTCTCTATGCTTATCCTAACCATTCAAGTTAATGCCACAACCTTCCCTGAGCCCTAGACCATGTGCTCCCCCATGTCACTTACACATTTATTAGGTTTATTGCTTATTGTCTGTTTCTTGTGGCAGGATTTTAAGCTTTTTGAGAATAGAAATCTTTGTTTTGCTCACTGATAAAACATCAAGAGCCAAGAATAATGCCTGGTATATAGTTGGCACTCAATAAATCTCTGTTGCACCAATGACTTATAGAGTTACCTGAGGGAAGAAACCAGAATACTAGGTACAGCAGGAATAATTAAATATGAATGTTAATTATATTAAATAAATATTAAATATTAAAATTAAAACGTTGCTGATTTAAAATAAATTATTTAGGTGAGCAGATTAATTGGGCTCACTGAATTACAGTAAAGGTAATTAAAATACATTAGATATCTACACATGTTCTGGAATGTCTTTAAATAGAAATTCTTTAAAAATCTTATCACTATGCAGCCATGATAATATAAAAGTTACCTACAAAAGAATAAAAATCAGACAAGCTTCAAATTTCCCATCCTAAAAATGAAACTAGAGAAATCCACAGAGCAATAACTCCAAGCTATTAATGAGAAAAGATTGTAGCCCAGTAGTCCTAAATACAGACAATGATCGTCATTCATGGGTGAAAACAGAAAAACAACCTCATATGCAAAAGCAGAGCTTACCCTACTCTTTTACCCATCCTGATTGTTACGGTTTGATAGTTTGGATATGATTTGTTTGACCCCTTAAATCTCACACTGGAATTTAATCCCCACTGTGGCAGTGTTGGAGGTGGGGCCTAGTGGAAGGTGTTTGGGTCACAGGGACAGATCCCTAAGGAAGGACTGGTGCCATCCTTGCAGCAATGAGTGAGTTCTTGCTTATTAGTTCCCTCTAGAGCTGGTTGTTAAAAACAGCCTGGCACCCATTCCCTACCCGTACACTCTCTGGCTTCCTCTCTTACCATGGGATCTCTGCACATGCTCCCCTTCACCCTCCATCGTGAGTGGAAGGAAGCAGCCTGGGGCTTTCACCAGACGCCCAGTCTTCCAATCAGCAGGATCATGAGCCAAATAAACCTTCTTTCTTTAGAAATTTCCTGGCCTCAGGTATTCCTGTATAGCAACACAAACACACTAAGACACTGATGAAACACCAAAAGCCATTCTCCAGATGGATCACTAACAAATCAAAGCACGACATTAATAGTGAAAAAATGATGGTATATAAAGGACTAGTGGTGAGTATTTAAATCAATCAAATACATAAATATAAATAAAAGTAATTGTTGTTAAAATGCTTCTAAATAAAATGTGTGAAAAGCTGTATAATACAAATGGAATAGTTGTATAGTAACAGTCTGGATCAATGTCACCAGACTGGAATAAAAAAAAAAGTAAGGAAGTGAGAAGAGGGAAGATAAGCAGGGGAAGGAAGGTTATGCTGAGTTACTAGTTGGGCTCAAGGGGAATAAAACTGGATCATTTAAAAAACAAAGGCTAAATATAGTAATTTGACAAGCTTAAAAGGCAACTCTTTGTACCATTTAAAATAGAATTTTTCTCTTCCAAATTCCTTCAAAAGATAAAATCAAACAAAATAGAGTTTGTATGACAAAACACAAAAAACTGCAAAGAAAATGGAAACAATAAAAGTTAAAATAACAAGTAAGTAAGTAAAGTAAAAAAGTAAGTAAAGCCAAGCATAACAGTTATGGCAACAGGTGGAAACATGATAAACTTATGTACCAAA